TAAAACAGGCTTTATCTGAGCAAGTACAGCTTCACTGAAAATTGGAGGCAGGATAACAAGCCTTTTTTTTTTTTTTTTTGGTCCGAGGATGCAAAGCAACAGAACTCTCTCTCTCTCTCTCTCTTGGCTGTCAGAGAAACTGGGTTCCTCACATAATGAGCAAGTTTTTGACCAGCTCTGCTCGTTCCAAATCCCGCTCAGCCCTGCTGTTTGTTCCAAACCAAATCTGAACAACCAACTGCATAGGGATTTGGACACGAGACAGCACAGTTCAGTTTGGCTCTATTAGCTCCAATACTGGAACAAATAGCAGCCTCAAATGTACCATCTGCAGACCTCCAAAACACTTTATTCCCTTCTCCGCTCCCCATCCCCTTATAACTGGCTGAATCATGCTGCACAGACACCCATAGGGGACAAAGTCATCATTCCTGCCATCACGTCTCAGGGACCCATTTAGAGGTCCGACTACAACGGCCTCCTATCTCGCCATCAGACCCCATAAAAGCCATCAAATTCTAAATTGTGCCCAGAACACAGAAGGGACAGCCAACGCCATGGGTCCACTGCAGGAGACAAAGCTTTTAAGGCGAACCACGACTCATAATTCCTGCATTCAGCGGGGCTTGTGTTGTGCGATCCGCATCCGGCTACAATGAGCACAATGAGTGCTTTGCCAAGAACATCTCTGCCCTGCACGGGGAGAGGGGATTTCATAGTGTGGGGCCCATCATAATCCCCATGCTCACAAGGAAGCAGTGTGATCTTTTTATCCAAAGGAGGGTTTGTTTTCCGGAGAAAAAAAACAAACCTCTGAGATATTTACTTCATTGATTCACAGCAGGGCATTGAGGTTTTAAGCCCTCTTCAAAAATGCTTCTAAGTAGGGACATTGTTGGTTCATTTCTGTTAATCAACTTGTTTTCATCACTGGGTGTTAAAAAGTGTTGTTTTGGTAACAGCAGGTGGCTTCACACTTGGAGGGTACAGTAAAAACAAAAAAAAAAACAAAGATTTATAGAGATTTGGGGCCAGTTTGAGGGATTAAACAGTTAAAATGTAGTCTCTTCAGGTGGCAAAGTGTTAAAATTGTGCGACCAAAGTATAGTCCTTGACTTATCCGCACAGGTTCGGGTCAAGGCTTTGCTTCACGACTCTTTAAAAATAAAGTTCACACACAAAAAACTTTCTTTTTTTTTTTGACTGTGTTTCTTATGGCTTCTGTTAGTTTTGCCGTTTTGGGTTTTCCATATTTTTCAATTTCTTTACCTTTTCCCAGGTGTTTTCTACTTTATTTCTCCTGCGTAGCTTTAAGTGTTTTGCAGTTGGTTTTGTCTTTACTTTTCTTCCTCAGCGAAAGCCATTCGATAATTCAGAGATTTAAAACCCGTTTCTTAACATTTGCGAGTTGTTAGCACCTGTTTTCATGTTTTTTACACGATAATTGTGTTGTCGGTAATCATTGGGTCCTCAGTTTCGCACTCTTTTCTATGCCAACCCTCTTGTTTACCTTGCTTACAATAAGAACATCTTCATATATCTATATCCTAACAATTTATGTACCAAGATGCAAGCTTACTGGTACAAAAAATCTTACTAGAAACACTTTCCATTGTTTTTGTGGGTCATTTCAACTTTAACATGTAAGATGCTCCCATAATAAATGGAAAGAAATTGATGTAATGTCTGCAGACTGAAAAACGAAGGTACAACGATGGACTGAGGTCACCTTTCATTGAAGACTGTATTTGTAAAGTCATCAAAATCCCTTAACAGCAAAAAGAACAATGTTCAAAGGCAAAATTACAGGTTAAAAGGGTTCCTAACCAAACAATGTTCATTTCTGAACTACATGGCTGTCCCAAATTCTAATTTGTTTGTTTAAATCTGTCCCCTATTCTAACCAATTTCCATTCCCATACCTGCATCATCCTCGTAGGGTCATGGGTTGGATGCAGCACTGTTGTGTGGTGAAGCAGTGATCAGGCTAGAGGCAGCAATTTCATATGTATTCAACATTGACCAAATAGGCTGTCTGAAAGAGCAATGGACAGACAGATATAGTGATAGCAGTAAAAATTCTGGTAATGAAAAATCTATATAATTTTCATATATTTCCTACTTATCTGGAACTTAAAAACGCTCACATTACAATCTAAGAGTTTTCACAGTGTGTAAGAACCCTGGGTAAAGTTGTAGGTTGGTAGTACTGGCAAACTGTTTCTTAAACATCTCTGTTCACGCTGTTGTTCCAACTTTTATCTATTTTACAAAATAGCAGTTAACCTAATCTCCTAATGATGGCGGTACGTCCATCAATTCATTCAGCTTGATAATATTAAACCCATTGGAAAAAGACACACCAGGTTTGCTAACAGTCGTTCTCCATCTGGCATCCCGCAGGGATGAGATCTCGGTCCCCTTCATTTCAGGCTGGGAAATGCAGTACCTTAACAGAATCAACACAGCTAGCTGCTGAATCATGATTAGTCTACAGCTTCTCAGACATAACCAATGTGTGAACTGAGACCCTACCACTAATTAAACACTCTAGGGTAGCTTTTATGTCACCAAGACACTTAAAATCCCTTCAGAGTCCAGGAGGGAATACTTTCAGCTTAAGACTCCTGCTTACTTTGGCTGAAGATAACTACAGTGCAATGAAAGCTCAATATATATAAAAATGTATAATTTGCCGCCTTGTTGTACAACACCTGGCTAATGATGCAAAAGGCCAGTTTGCATAAGAAAAGATTTGGGTAATGTTCATTTCACACATTTTTATGTAATATAGGGGTATGTAACAGGATGTAGGTGTGAAATAAGACTAAAATCATATCAGATTCAAGAGTCTCTACATTTTTTGTTGGAATAACTACTGAAAAGATGGTTGGAAATTCAGAATTTAACAGCTGCAGTTAAAAAAGCGCTTTATTTGTTTAAAACATCAGCAGAAAATGGAGGTAAACTGGGGCAAAAAAATTTTTTTGAAGAAGAAATCAAATTTTTTACTGAATAGTGCCTCCAAAGCAGATATAATGTGTTAGTTTAAAATGCTGCAAAACAATTCTCCTCGTCAAAGCAGAAAACTGCCATTTTCACTCCTCACAGATAAGAGATTTCCCAGCCTACACACGCAGCTGTCTCCCTCTTCCATTTGCATCAGGTATTGATTTTAAGACGCAGGCTGTGGGGTGAGAAACAGCGCTGCTGCATATGGTACACGGTGCGATTAAAAAAAAAAAAAGGCACTGACAGGGAGTTTGAGACTTGTTATGAAAAGATGCGTCGGTGGCGAACAGTAGGATGCCAATTAGGCTGCTCGGCCACGGAGAGGAGATCCACGGTCATGCACTGGTTTCTCCCCTCCTCCATCCTGCATCATCCAGCATAGAGCAGAGAAGTAGGAGAAAAAGAAAACAACAGCTACTCTTACAAGAACAATAACAGCATCATATTTCCATGCATTGATTTCCCTTCCTTCGCTCTCTCTATTTTGCATTATTTGTCTGGTCAGTCATGTGCACCATGAACGCAGAGTCTCCAACAGGCAATGAAGGCGGATTCGTCCCATGGTTGAAGGAAAACTTAAGGAAATGTTTGCTTTAGGCAGCCTTTTCACCAATCACAACTCAAATATCCCTAGAGGATAACGGGAGTATAAACTTTTTTGCAACATACATCTAAAATAACTAGAGTCCAGTTTGCTGATAAAAGATATCTATATATTTAATATTTCATTTAAAAATTCTACACAGTTAGAACTTACAAATTATTTTCTAAGTATGTAGAAGATTATTATTGACATTGTTAAAGAAATTGAATTACATATATAAATTACTATTATTTCTTTTCTGTTAAATTCTAGTGCTCTTGTACTCCCCCTGCTGGTAGGGAGGTCTTAAGTAGCTGCTTCAGTTAGCTTTCTCCATGCAGTCATGAATTGCAAAGAAAAATAAAATAAGAAATGGGAAAAACAAACAGATATTAATTCGATATATATTATATTTGCAATATCTACACAAAAATAAACCTTAATTCTCACATACATAGTTGGAACCTCTCTAACATCTCCTTAATATCCTTCATATTTGAAGTTGTGTGCAAAATACTTTTAAATAACATAATATTAGGATATTATCTGAAAATAGTCTATTTGTTGACTTAATGTGTTCTATGTGATGGGGGACATGTTAATTTGTTGATTTTTTTTCATTATTTTGGTGCAAATTCTAATTCTAGACATTGGGAATTGACACTAGCTATGAAGGTTTAAAAACAAAATCAAAATGTGTTATTAACATATTAGAGCTACATTTGCAAAGCTGACTTTTATCATTGTACTAAACTGACTTTTTTTAAAGAAAAAATAATGATTGGGAGGACCTAAGCAATTGCATAGTTTGTTTATTTCTCTGGCCGGCTCTGCATGCAGGTGGCTCCTGGAAGGACTTATAATTATAAAAGAAAAGGTGCACAATAATTATTTCATTGCTTTTACATAAAAAAATTCTCTTACTGATGTTTAAACACTCAAACAAGCAAAAAGATCAATAGTTTTTGCAGGAAAATTCAAACAAAAATCAATTGCACATTTTTTTTATGAACCGGCTCCATGTGCCTCTACGTCTCCACACCTAACTTCCACGCAGAATGGCGGATAAAGGTGGAAATCAGTGACATTTGACTGCTTTTCTCTTTCCCTTCTTCCAATTAAAAATGAAAAAAAGCAAGACATGTAAGGGTATGTATTATGGATAAGAGAGGGAAAGGGAGGAGGGGGTTACAACTGAGTAATCTAAAGGATGCATATATTATTCACCAGCAATTCAGTGTGCATTATGAGATCTAGATCTTCATCTTCCACTAAAGCGTTTGACAGCTTTATTAGAGCAAAAATGGGAGAGGAAATACATTTTATTCCCTGTTGGAATCAAAAAATGGGAAGAAAGTTAACGCCTGCTTGCAGAGCGCATGGGTCTGAGGGATGCGCCACGTACCTGCTGCCAGTTCTCCTCCAGAGATGGCATGGCTGAGAAGTAGCCGGTGTCATGGACGAGCTGAAGTTCCTGAAAGATGCTGTGGTTCGCCAAGACATCCATGCTGACGCTTCAGCGGAGAGCGAGAGAGAAGGAAAGGGAGGCGAGTATAAAAAAAAAGAGGGGGGAAGAGAAAAAGCAGCAGAAGGATCCACCAGAAAACGCGCCTGCCTCCTCTCTGATGATCTCTCACACTTCTACATCCACTTCTTTCATATTAGTCCGTTTGGTGCGGATTAAAAGCGCAGTGCAGCGGCTGAACGCGGAGCAATTAGAGTCCCTGTACCTGCCCGCATAATCGGTGCGTAAAGGAGACTGGAGGTGGATGGACGCTCCACGCGCATCGGTGTTGCCAAAACAGCCTCTGATAGGGGAGCAAGCGGAGAGGGAGGGGCTTTGCTAAATGAAGGGGCGTGAGTACATTTGTCAATCAGCTCCCTTCGCTTGGCCCTTTTTTTGGTGAGTGGGCGGCCGAGTTGGTGAGGGAGAGGAGGTGATGGTAATTAGAGCAGTTTAAGGGTGGGACTTGATGGAACCCGATTGGCTCTGTTGGCGCTTCACTCCGACTGCATGTGGGCTCCATAGGTGAGCTATTTATGGATGGCTACTTAGATCTGGAAGAGCAACTCAGAGGCCAGTTTGTGTGGAGAAGTTATGATCCAAACATTAGGTTTTTAGGTCATTTTGTTAGTCCAATTGTTTTTAATATTCTTTTTTGTTTCTACATTTTTTATTTAATTTATTTCCTACTTGCTTTGATTCTGTTGTATTTTCCTATATTTCAATCATGCAAAGCACTTTGCATTGTCTTTGTACTGAATTGTGCTATACAAATAAATTTGCCTTGCCTTGCCTTCCTTTAACCTTACTTAATAAGACGCATTTGAGCACCAATCTATTAGAAGCGCAAAATGGATAGATAGATAGATAGATAGATAGATAGATAGATAGATAGATAGATAGATAGATAGATAGATAGATAGATAGATAGATAGGTGTTCTGTTAAGAATACACAAGCAGCAAAAAAGAAACAAATAACAGTTCTATGATGGGTGTTCAATAAGTAATGCCACTGGCCCACTTCCAAATGTTTGATTGAGTTGAAATTTTGCAGGTGAAGTATTTTACATCTCTATAGATTAAACAGCCAATTACAGCTCTGAACTAATTGTGGTTTCTGTTTTACTGGCATTAAAACTGAGTCAAGTCTGAGTTTTTATATTTGAAAGGACGCACACAACCTTAGACTTTTGATCAAATGACAGTAACTTATAGTGATAATGTCCCATAATATAACCTTGTAAAACATTTTGCAAGGTCATATAACGGGCATCATCACCATAAGTTACTTTAATTTCATCAAAAGTCTCCTGTGGTGTGAGTTCTTTCCAATGGAAAAACCAGATCACTGCTTGACACACAACAAGCTCCATTTGTCATGATCGATTTAAGAGATCTGACCCACATGCAGAGAACCACTCAGAGAACCAGGGGAAAAGTTTAACAGGTTTGTTGAGGAGACTTTACAGGCGTTGAATCAGGGACTCAGAGAACTGGTGAACCGGAACTGGAAAGTCTGGAGAGGAGATCACAGTGATCAGTTCATGGGCCGTAGGAAAAACTGATTGAGTCTTTAGCTCAGTGGAAGCGGGACTCACGTTTGAGGGGGTTCTTGTCTTTCCTTGATCCGGTTGGTGTGGGTTTATCCAGAGAAGAAGGAACTCATTGGAGAGCAGACAGGTAGACATACGTAGGACCCTGAGGAGCAATGGAGCGGACTGTTACTTGGATTCTCAATAGGGACTTGAATGGCACGTGTGGAAGTTTTCCCCTGCTCAGCGTGACCTCAGTTAATCCTTCCAGGGGGAGAAGGCCAGGCATCCAGTTACACAGGAAGGCTTCCCAAAACTGGCAAACACTCTGGCGTCGAAAGTAGTGACAGTCCCCCGCTCAAATACTCTTCAGTGATGAACCAACGAGCCGCAGGTGTGCAGGAAGGCCAACGAGAACAGGGCACCACCTAGTGGTGGAGGTAGAGAAAAACACACAAACAACCCACACAAACTTGATTCTAACACCATTTCAGACTTTACTCAGTTTAAATACCTGTAAGTCAGAAACCGCAAATAGTTCAGAGCTGTAGTTTGCTACTTAATCTATAGAGACTTAAATAACGTTACATGCTAAATTTCAGCTCGATCACACATCTGAAAGTGAGTCGGGGGCATTACTTATTGAATCATCATATGTAAATTGCACTGGAATAGGTCTTCAATAGCAAATGGGAGATGTCTGATTCAGCTTATTAGTTAATTTCGGCGCTAATATCTGATCCAATTCCAATGATCAAATCTGTGCATCTCTAAATAAAGATGTAAGAGGTATACCCATCATGAATATAATTTAATCTGTATGGGTTTATGTCATACAATCCCATTAGATCTCGGTACAAGGGATCAAAGGTTTTTATTTCTTTGCTTGTGCTGCCCACTAACACTATGGTGCCCTGTGTGTTGAGCCTTTATTACCGCTATTAAAAATAGCAGGTGCTCGTTATTGCACTCATATGTTAGCAAGGTGGAAGGGAACCACTCATGCAAAGAGAATATGAGCATCTGGCTGTTGAGGTGAGAAAATTGTGTCTATTTCATAAAATAGCTTCAGTCATTGCAGACTTCTCTCCAACCCATGTTTTTATCGTCACACTTGACTTACAGGGAGCAATTTTCTGACTGATTCTTAAAATCTGCCTATTTTCAAAGCTGATATGAGTAGAATGACACATAAGTGGCCAAATCTTCCTTGATACTATGTGTTTTGGTGGCTTGAGTAATGTCTGCTTACTCTCTCCAACCGTGTAAGCCACTGAGGATGGGCCCCTTCTTCCACACTTGGCTCAACACTATTCTGTTTTACACATGCGAGCCAGCATTGGAGAAGACTGTAATCTCATTACAGGGCCCCGGTTGCATGAGATTTACGCATGGCATTTTGGGGAGGGGAGAGGTGAGCGAGCTCAGGCAGACGATGAAGCTCCCTCTGACATTTATCCATTTGACACAACTCACTCTGTCTCTCTGCCTCCTGCCCGTCGCATCTTTACACATGCAGCTTTTAGTTGTCATCTCATTCGGCTTTCAGACGACATTCATCTCCACCTGATCGCATCCATCTTCCCTTCCCAGAATGTTGCTCGGAATTCTGGTGCCATGATTACTCTTTTTTCTTTATTATTTCAGAAGGAATTCTGTACAAAAGGTCTGACAAAGACTCATGGCAGCGACATGACTGCCTGTACAGAAGATTTACTCCATGGTTGACTGAATACTAAAATATTTAACAGATAAATTCTGTTGTTTTTATGCATTGTTCATGAACTGGCTTACATTAGTGTAGAAGCTGGAGAAAATGACTGTTTTTTCGTTTTTTTTTAGCTGAAACACATAGTTAGTTAAAGCTTAACTAATGTCTTCCAGGAGTGAAAACTACAAGTGAAAAAAACAAACTTTTACGTACGTGTTTTGCTATTACCCCTTTTTGTCAGGTACATATAAAGTTCACTCTGATTAAATGTGTTTGTTGATGCTCATGATAAAATATGTATTCAATACAAACAGCCGTAACAGTTTTTCACTGAGCTTCCAATCATCTTCATGCCACAGTAAAACCACACTTCTTTCTTACAACTTGGAAAATTAACACCAGAAAATTACTAATATATGATCAAGAATTAATTTTACTTTCTGGGTAAGGCAGTGTTTCATCATAGAGTTGACTTGGGAAGGCATAAAAAAATGCTATACCACCTTTTTAAAGGCTTTGATAACAGGAATTGGAGTGAAATAGGAGAATACAGAGTGAGGAAAAGTTGTCTTTATGTCCTCCTGCAGCCTAAGCCTATAGCAGCATACCTACAAAGAGAGTCAACAGAGTCTAGAAGCAAAGGGTTCTATTAGGAACATAATAAACAGTCAGATATTGGCTATATGATGTAGTTTCATCATTAAGGGATGATTTGTATAGGAGAAGGAGGATTTGTTAAGAATTAAAGAGTAAATAACTGAAAAACAGCTAACATCAGAAAATGTGACATTTCCTTTAAATTTCACTGAGATCTTTTGGTGCAGGGTTTCTGTTGAATTAAAGGCTTTTAGATCCAACATGGTGACAAAACTACTGGCCTATATTTTATACAAAACTATAAATACTTCTTCGTTTTCTGTTCTTCATAGATCATTCTTGTTCTTTGAATATAATGCCACCGCGACTCTTCAGCAACACAGTTAAGTTTGCATTTAGACATAAGCTACCTCTGGGTCCATAACTTGTCAGTCTGCTGCCTTCTTGTCTTATGTTTTGGTCCGTCAATCATCACCCACCACTAATTATGTAACCAACTCTTGTCAGCACCACTTTGTTTCACAATTGTTCGCTGGAAATAATTGAGTTTTTTCCCGAGCCATTATCATGTTTGGCTATAACTTATATCTTGTTCAATAATCAACATCAAAACTGTCTGAAGATCAATATCAGACCTTTCTTTATAGCAGATGGTACTAGTGAGAGCGAGTTTCTTTTCAAAGCTTTTCAAGACAGGCCTTTTAATGATATTCTTTCAGCTGTTAAATTTAATTGCCTTGTATTTCTGGTGCTTTGAAGACATTAAGTAGAATATTCTTTGGTAGAGACCTGAAGATGTATTAAAGGTGGAGTAGAGTTTGAGTTTAGTCATTGTAGAGATCTTCCTTGGTTTCCATGATAATAATTTCCTTCATTTGGATTTTTTATGGTTTACCCCAGGGGTCTGTCCAACGTGGTCTGTTCTCACTCAGGATACTGCCTTTAGGATTGGTATTCATAATGTTCTCTTCATTGAGATTCTGATCATCAATTTCGCTTTGAATTGGACAACTTTATGGCACCGGAGCCTTTACCTGTGTGCAAGAAATAAAAAAATATGGCAGAATTCATTGGTTTTGGAACTCCCTACTCCTTCGTGGGGCTAAATGAAAACCTTTTTTTTTTGCTTCTTTTTGTTTCTCCTCAGTATAGTTTTTACACATTTTTAAATAGGACAAGTAATTGAACTCCATTATCAGTCCCAGATGTTATTGCTAGATTTTATGGTCAATCAAGATGACAATATAAATTTATGCAGATGTTACAACAGCAGTTCTCATCGTCTTCCCATCCTTGAATTAATCCTCAACAGGTGTTTAGGTCTGTCAAAAGGTACTGGAAGGTACAATTCTGTATGTTCCAATCTTAAGAAGATTTTAAGATATGTCTGCTTAGTTTTAAAATTTTAAATGTGTTGGCGTCTGAATGGATTTTCAACCAAACTGTGGTAGAGATCATCACCCAGCCAGATGG